TTGTTATCTCAGACTTTCCAGCATCTGCAGTTCCTACTATCTCTGATACCAAAGTGAACAATGTGGCTACTCATGAAATCCCGGACCAGCTGTCATCACAGATCCTTTCTGGCTCACCCATTTTCCAATGACTCTATTGCCTGTTACCCTCTGAGTGTCTGGATGAGAAGTTTAAGTAAAACAGAGTTCTGATGAATTACAGGACTTGAAGCCTTAACTCTGTTTTCTTCCCACAGATGCTGCCAGACCTGCTGACTTTCACCAGCAATTTCTTTCTTTGTCTGAGAAATTTAGGTATTTGCATTCATCTGGGCAAAGATTTTCAGTCTTCTGTTCCATCAAATGTGGTTCATAATATCATGTGAAGGGTGGATTTACTATTGATAAATGTACATAGTCCTCTATCATCTGTGGATTGATTAAATCTAGATGTAGAAAAGGGTTAATTTTAATCTTGATATTCTGGCATTTTCCAAAATAAAAATCGGGGACATCTGATTCCACTTCCACCTTAAAGCTATGTGCTGATTCCTTGAGAAGGAAATATTAAAGATAATAAAGATAATGACATTTAAATGATTCGTACAATTTCTTTCATTCAACCTTGTCAGGCTGTCCAATTTCAATGTCATGACAACCAATAGTGTGTTTTACATAGAATAACATAGGAACAGGCCCTTTGGCCCACCATGTCTGTGCTGTTAATGAAGGTGTTATAAACTAATCCATCTGCCTGTACATATACCTCTACTCTCTGCCTGTTCATGTGTCTGTCTAAATGTTTCTAAACATCCTAAACAGTTTTACTGCTACTGTTCCTCAAATGCCATTTGCCTTAAAGAAATAGCAATCCAATTGCAACCCACAGCCATATGCTTCACTTACAGGCTAATCTTGCACCATTCATGCATGGAAATTCCTTATCAGAAGATTACACAGAAACAGCCAGCAAGTATTCCTTATGTTCTAGCTGTTTGATGTTTTAGAAGCGGCAGTACCTAAGAGGAAATCAATGGAATTCACTGAGATAAACACTGTGCTCCAGTTAAGCTGGGCAAGTCACAGATCCAGTGTTGTTTGCAGCTCACAAATAAACTAGATGAGGCAGAGTCACGTGATTCATTAGACTACAGGTGGAATACTCCATGGAAGTCTAAGCAAGTCATTTCAGAAGCACTACTGACGTAAGAAAAATATTGTGAGCAATTGACTATGATGATAATCAGGACTTGGAACAATTAGAACTGTATTTACTGAAGCAGGAAAGTTCAGAGAGATTTAATGAATGTGTTTAAAATCGTGAAAGGGCAAATACTTAAAGATTACTTTTATTGAGAAGTTGATGTGTAATAAGAATATAAATTTTGGACTGAAACTAGAAATGCAGTTGAAATCTGGAAAACATTAATTCAGATAACAATTGAAACCAAATTGTTTAGAATAGAATATCCTTTATTGTCACTAGTACTAAAATACAGAGGTACAGGGGTACAGTGAAAAGTTTTTACAATGGTTGCCTTTTAATAGTGCTATCTTAGATAAAAGTACCCAGGTACGAATCTTACAGAGTAAAATAAAAGTGTTCTTATACAAAGAGGATTAAAGGAAAACATAACCATTACTTACAGAGGTAGTTACCACATAGTGAAAAGGTTTTAAATTACAGTCCAACAACAGCAGCTCAGCACGTGGCACTGCACCCAATTCCACCAATTGTCCCACATCACTCCAGCCTCCAGTCCACTCCTCACTGGCATTCAGCAGCAGCAAGGTAAGTCGCACTGTACTGGGATTCATACCTTGACCCCTCCGTTGCTCTCAGCCTGCCTTTTCCCACTCACCTCGGCTGTCTGCTCCTGCTTTCGCCGTATCTGCCAGGCACTTGCTGCTTGCGCAATGCTTCGGAGCTGCTCCCCCATGTGCTGCTGTGGGCCTCTTCCCTGCGCTCCTCTGGGGCTCGCAGCCCATGAGCTTGCTGCAGTGCTCGCTGGTCTGGATTTGCTGACGGTTCCGATGCTGAGTGGAGAGAAGAAGAAAAGAGATAAAGAATAAAGAAAAGAAGGAAAACGGAGGAAAAAGAACAGGCGTTAAAGGAGTTACACAATCCTTTGAAATGTGATTCAAGTAGAAGTCTTTGATGTTGAGATAGCATTAGCATGGTAGGCAAAATAGTTTTCATATCATTTATCAAAAAATTCAGATCCCTAGCAAATAAGAAAATGAGAGCCAAAATTAGTAAGGACATGGATGGCGAGTGGATATTTTGAACTCCCAACTCAGCTACACTACAGATGTATGCAAAGCAAAGTTGTTATCTCTGCTCAATGACTCCGTATCCAGACCAAATACATCCTACTGCAGCTGTTTAACATTAATTCTTATTCTATCTGATTATTGTCACTCTTCCCCAAGGTTTCACATAGCTAGATTGATA